AAATTTGTTCCATGTTAATTAGTAGCAGTAAAACACATTACCAATTGAAATCTACCTGATGACTTTATACCCATGCTCAGATGCCAAGGAGCTCTGAAAGCAACCAACTGTGACTAGTAACAATCAGATATATAGAGATTAGAAACACATGTGCAAACATTTTAAATGTCAATTGCATTAAAAAATGAATTTTTCTGTATGAAACTATATTTTAATAATGAAATGGAGATCTTTTTTAAAGATAAAAACCTCATTTAATTTTATGTCTCTTGGGGCTTATACTGAGTACAATATTGTATAACTGTAATAATTCAACTGTAAACCTTAAAACTTACAGCCAATTTTGAAAGAGATGCATCTTAGCTCAGGAAATTGTTATTGACTATGTCAATGCTGTTGTAATGAAATGCTTCTTCTAAGTATGTGGTTATTACATTAACAATTTACAAAAGAAAGATAAGTTTTTTTTCCTGTTTTTCAGAAGACATTAAATTTCAGTATTTTCTGTGAAGTCTAACCTAACATCGACTGTACCTTTTGCTGGGGTATTGTTAGGCTACCAGGCAGCCCATCTTGCTTAGGGAATGTGATCTCAAAATTGGTGTTATTCCATCCTCTGAAACATTGAGTGCATCTGATTTCACCTCTAATCTTGTCCTACACCCCATTGAATAGTCATAGAGCCATAAACAGTCTATACTTGCATTTTTAGCCTTCAACATCTGAAAAGTAAGTGAATGTATCTCTGTTTTGTACTAAAACAGCTACCATAGGCTAGCTGGTTCTTGTGCTTCCAGACAAGGACAGTAGCCTAATGTGCCTAATCTTTGATATACTCTAGAAGTTATGTTCTTATATTAGTTATTCTGCCTTCCTTAGCCCCAAGAAGAAAAAAGTATATGAGAAGTGGAGCCCACTGCATTCAAACTATACAAGAATGCAGCAAGTTGTATTCAAAGCAGGAAAGGAGGAAACATGTTTAAAAACATGGGAATGTGTCATCTTTTGATCACCAGGTTCAAGTATATAAGCAGTACTGGAGCCAGATGAATACTTCCATGAGGAATACACTGAGCTGGGCCTGTTTTTTGCAGGACTCACACTGCTAGTCCAATTTTGACTGTCACTTTGTCATCATTAATCCTTGCCCAAAACAGTAGTATTGAGCTAAACTAGGCGCAGGCAGGAAAAGTGTGTGTGTGTGTGTGTGTGTGTGTGTGTGTGTGTGTGTGTGTGTAGATGACGTATCCTGAACATGTTTTTCCCTTCAGTAAGCGTGGGATGTTATTTTGCATTGGTCGCCTAATAAGCTTTGTCATTACTTAGTCATTGGATGACATATATGCTTACAAGTTCTTGAAAAGACAAAGATTTTTAAAAATGATAAATAATCTGTTACACTGGTTTTTGCCGGTTTTGTGCGTGTGACTTCTCTGTATTTGACTGAAATACTCCCTGTTGAAACACTTTTTACCCTATCATGATCAAAAAGAGGGTGCATCTCTTTAACTGGTTAACCTTTACAACTTTACATTTCAAAACTCACTTTTGTCTATTTCCTATATTATTTCAAGTTTCTTTTTTCTCACAGATTCTGATTTTCAGCTAAGTTGCTGTAATTTCAAGTTTCTTATTACTAGTAAAATTATGTGATCATTTCTGTTTATAAACTTGACTTTACGTTTTGGTGTGCTCTAAGTATTCTAAAATTATCTTTCAGCCATGGAAACAAAGAAGTATTTTCCTGCCGAGGAATAAAACTGGCAGTGGATTGGTTTCTGGAAAGAGGCCACAAAGATATTACCGTTTTCGTTCCTGCTTGGAGAAAAGAGCAGTCCCGACCTGACGCGCTCATCACAGGTAAGCCTGCCCCAGGTAGCTAGCTGCTTGTGCCAGGCTCCTATGAGATGCCCCCAAGAGTGCCTGGCGCTCCAAGTATTCTCAATCTGTGTCTGTTTCTTCAAGCTACATGACTGCCATTGTCTTGACATTTGTTATTCTCTAGTTTGAAAATGCTCTGGTTAAGCTGGGGTTGGTGGTGCACACCTTTAGTCCTAGCACTTAGGAGGCAAAGGAAGGTGGATCTCTGTGAGTTCAGGCCAGCTTGGTCTATGTAGCAAGTTCCAGGCCAGCTGAGGCTACAAGGAGATGCTGTTTCAAAACGACCACAAAAAAAAAAAAAAAAAAAGGAAAGAAAATGCTCTAATTACATTAACTGAACACTGATCTTTGCTATGTAAGTCAGGTATTTTTCATTTATCTGGAGACTTTGACTTCAAATTTTATAAAGTTCTGACTTACAGAGACATGCTGAGTCAGTAGGCCTGTTCTACTTTTGACATTCACTCTGTAGTACTCTGAACAACACCCTGAAGTTCTCCAGACCCCTCTGTTGTCATATACTGTATGAAGTAGTCTAAGCAGCTATGAAGTTCTAATAAAAAGAGCTCTAAGACCCTGAGGTATGTAGTCCAGTCACAAAGAAAGAAATGACCAGCTCCCAGTAATGTATTTATAGTTTGCTTTATTTCATCATTTTTAAATATATGACTTTATGGCAAAGATGTCTTATTTTTTAAATATTTTATTTATTATTTTTATTTTATGTGTATGAGTGTATTGTCTGCATGTATGTGAGTGCACCCATGTCATGCAGTGCCACAGAGATCAGAAGAGGGCTTTGGATTCCCCTGGAACTGGAGTTAAGGATGGTTTGTAGCTACCATGTGGGTGCTGGGAATGGAACCCGGGTCCTCTATGAGAGCAGTCAGTGCTCGTAACCGCTGAGCCACCTCTCCAGCCCCAGGATGTCTTCTTTAACTACTGATTATTGTTGAACACAACACATGTGGGTGCTGGGAATGGAACCCGGGTCCTCTGTGAGAGCAGTCAGTGCTCGTAACCGCTGAGCCATCCCTCCAGCCCCAGGATGTCTTCTTTAACTACTGATTATTGTTGAACACAACACTCACTTCAATTTTACTGACTCACAGTTCGCATCCAACGCTTCCTCTCCTCTCCTTCTCCAGCACTAACAAAAACTGTAAGAAATCCATGTGAAGGGAACTGCATAACTTTTTAGAGAGATAGAGACAGAACAGAGAGAGGAGAGCGAGAACCTACCATGTTACCAATGTGAAAGATTATTATAAGGCTTTTAAATTTGGGGTTTTTTTTTTATGTGTATGAGTAATTTGCCTGCATGTATGTAAGTGCACTTGTGTGTACAGAGCCTGCAGAGGTCAGAAGAAGGTGTGAGATCCCCTAGAACTGTAGTTACAGATGGTTGTTGGCTGCTGTGTGGGTGTTGGGAACTGAACCCAGATCCTCTGTAAGAGCAGCCAGTACTCTTAACCACCTGTCCTGGCCCAACGTTTTCCCTTTCTCTAACATTATTAAATCATTCCTAAAATAGGATAAGATGAGTGATTGAGTAATAATGGAGGCCAAAGCCATGGATTCTTCACTGTGTAAAAATAAAAGGTACTAACGTGATCCAGCAGAAAGTACCAAATATTGGAATAATTCTAGAAAAAAAGGACTTTTTTGTCTCTTTTTTTGATTCCTACCTTATATCTGATAACAATAAATTTTAGATAGTTGAATAATTAATTGTCAAAAGTTAAAGCATCAAAGATTATAGTCTTTTGAGTTGGGGCCAATCTTTCTAAGTTTACAAATTTTAGAAGTAACGTGAATGAAAAAATTGATGTAATTAAATCAAAATGTCACCTTCTGTCTTTTGGTCAACTTTCTTCTTTTTTATTTACTTTTATTTTTGTGTATGAGTGTATTGCCTGCCTGTATGTAAGCACACCCATGTTGTACAGTACTCACAGAAGTCAGAAGAGGGTGTTGAATCACCTGGAACTGGGGTCGAGGATGGTTTTTAGCTGCCATGTGGGTGCTGGGAATGGAGCCTGGGTCCTCTGCAAGAGCAGTCAGCACCCTTAACTGCTGAGCCATCTCTCCGGCCCTTTGGTAGACTTTCTTAAAAGTAAAATGCTCACTAATTGTATTTTTTAAATATACCAAGAATTAATGTCTTTAAAAAACTCATAAATTGATAAACGTAAAGGTGTTTCTAGTATTTAAAAGGTAAAATTGTGGGAATAAACAACTTAAAAAGAACAAATGAAGAAGGAAAAAACCCACCCTCTTTAGTAGTTAGAAACGTAAATGTAAACAACTGTTCTTTTTCATCCATCAAATTAACATTGAACTAATAATGTTCAGTGTTTTGATAGAGCTACTCTTACACTGCTGAGGAAATGCAAATCACTACTACAACCTTGTTAGAAAACAATTTATCTTAAAATGTTAATACAGTAGCTCCTCCATTCAAAGTTTCTCTTTCTGTGGTTTAAGTCAGCCAAAGTCTACTGTGGTCCAAAAGTACTAAATGGAAACTTCCAGACATAAAGGGGCATGGGTTTAAATTGCACCTGTTTTTTGAGTCTTGTGATGAAATATTGTGCTGTCCTACCCTATCCTAGCCAGGCAAGGAATTTTCCCTTTGTCCAGCATAGCACCCTGTAGGTGCTCCCCCATACACTTGCCATTCCTTGGTAGCCTTTGGACTAGTGTGTCCTCTCTGGCAGGGCCTCTGCTCAAGGAACTCTGTCTTACTTAATAATAGCCCCAAAGCTGAAGAGTTACATTGGCAATTTGGATGTTAGCAAAGAGAAGCTATAAAGTACGTCCTTTAAGTGAAAAGGTAGAAATTATCAAGTTTATAAAGAAAAATTATATGCTGTAACAGTAAGATGTTTTGAGAAAGGTCATGTTCAACATCATTTTAACAGTACATTGTAGTAATTGTTCTATTTTTATTAAAAGTTAATTTTGCTGAGCCTAATTTATAAACTGAATTTTATCATGGATATGTCTGTACAGGAAAAATAGTCTACCTAGAATTTTTCTATACGATCTGTGATTTCAGTCATGCCTGGGGGGCAGAGCTGTTCTTGGAATCTATCCCAGTGGATAAGCAAGGGAGCTACTATACTATTAAATCTGCTGGTTCCCCTCTTAGGAATGAATCCCAAGAAAATAGGCATGGGTACAATGTAAGCAATTCAGTGTCATATTATTTTGAATAGAAGAAAAAGTGAAAACCAGTTGTATATTCATTAGAAAAATAGTTCAGCAAATTAGGACATATCAAAATGATAGAATATGGATTAGAATATTTATACAGAATTGTGTGTGTCTTACGTGTGTTGTATACACATGTGCAAAAGTGTGTTCACTAATGCATACACATACTGAGGCCAGTGGTCAAGGCTGAGTGTCTTCCTCTGTTGCTTTTTACCTTGTATTTTGCTCAGAGGCTGGGCTGGTTGGCCAGTGAGCCCCGAGGTCCATTTGTCACTGCCTTCCCAACACTGCGATAATAGACATATGCCACCATGCTCAGCTTACATAGACACTGGGGATCCGAACTCAGGTCCTCATGCTGTACAGCAAGCTCTTTACCCACTAAGCCATCTCCACAGCCCCTAGGAAGATTTTTTTTTAATGAAATGCTGTGTTATATAAAACTCAAGCTTTTTATTTTGTGTGTATGTGTGTATATGTACATATATATGCACTTACATATGTCAGTGGTAGAAAAATACACCAAAAAATTATTTAAGGGAAATGTACCAAAATGTTGACAGTAAGTACTTAACCTTTAAGCTGTGGTTTTCTCTCTTCCTATTTCTTTATACTTTTAATTTTCCAATTTTTCCATGGGAAACTTACAAATACTTTGATAAACAGAGGTAGGATGTGATAAACTCCAAAGAAAAGGCAGCCACTGGAAATGTGGTACACACCTGCCTCAGGACTTGGGAGGCTGAGGCAGAAAGATCTCATGTCAGCCTGGGCTGCTTAGCAAGGCCTGTTCTCAAAGAAAATAAAGGAAAAGAGGAAAAGCACTGTTGAATCATATAAATGACTTTCGTGCTTCTTGAGCAAAGATAAACATAAGATCCAGAAGAAGGGAAAATAATAATATACAGGCTCTGAGGTTTGGTTTAAAAGTGTGGACAGTAAAAGTCGGGCCTCTGGAATGCAGTTGGTATGCAGTTTGCTTTGTGTGGTGCCAGAACTATTATCAGAGGTTTTCAGGTGTTTTCTTCCCCCCACGTAATAATTTTCTTGAATAAAGCCCTCAACCACATGACAGCTGATAGAATGAATAGTTCATCACTCTTCATTGCACATAAATAAATAAATAAATAAATCATACAGTAAAGTTTCCAGAGTCACAGGTTCAGAGTAATACTTTTGCTAATCTAGCATTCACTTAACAAATACCATGCACTGGCTATGAAAGTTATTAGCTGTACCCTAAACCTATGTTTTTAAAGTTAGAATTAGTTATGTATCATCCTAATTCGTTTTCTTTCAGCCTCATTAGCTGTCAAAGTGCAAATTAAGCAAGTGATGGTGACTGTACCCTAGTCTCCTCATTGAGGCTTCAGGTATACCACACATGTCAGCAAATACTCTCTCTGATAATAAAGTACCATGAGTTACTCCTGAGTGTCATGCAGGCAGTAAGTAAAGGACCTCTGAGTGTGCATCTTAGTGACTCCTTTATTCATTCATTCCACAGGGATTCACTGAGCATCTACTAATGTCCTTCATGGTCTGGATGGTCTGGGTGCTGATGGATACAAAGACCAGTGAGACAGAGTGCCTTGACCCTCTCCTCCAAGTGTTCAGGGACACAGAGCAGTTAGAGCACAGTAAATTCTATGATTGGGCCTGGACTTTCAAGTTTGTATGGGTTTTCTGTGGATTTGAGAGAGCAACAATTATATAAAATTGAAGTTCGTTGACATTAAGAACAGTCTTTACTGGAAGCTTCCTAGGCACCTTGACACTTGCTTGCTCCTCACAGCCTACCCACTGCATTTGTAGAAGTGAGTGGGCTCAGTGAGACTGAATGCCCGACGTGAGCAGTACCAGAGCTTGCACTTCAGCCACGGTTTGCTGCTTCCAGCACCCACATTTCTTCCCCCAGTGCTCTACTGCTTTTCTAAATTAGAGTCCAGGTTCCACTGCTTCACTGGTGAGTGATGTCATCAGATGTAGAGCTGGCCATATCACTCTTATGCCCGCCCTGCCACATACCCTCTCACATGCCTCCATCTCACATGGCCCTTTGCTCACCTCATTTCCAAGTTCGTCAGATCCGGGAAGACCAAGAACTCTTTGAGAAGAGGTCATTCTTAACCTCAGTGGCTAGTGGCCCACAGTGCATACTGCAGGGTAGGCCAGTAGTGTCTGTTGAAGAGGTGGATTTTCAAAAACTGGTAACTATATTGCGAGGAAGAGGTGCCCAGCATATGACAGCTGCGCGGGAAGCAGCCTCCTAAAACGTGCTGCTCCACCCTGTGAGCCTGGAGCACTTTCAGGCCATTTCCTTTGCTTGTTCCATTTCTACCACTTTTCAGATTCTCTCACCACCACATCTTCTATTCAAAAAACAAAAATAGCCATAAAATACCAGAACAGACTTGAGAGAAAAGTGCCTCTTGCTCACACCTGTGAACCAACACACAGCTTAGTTTGAGTGTTGCGTGGTCATTATGTGTAAGAAGGGAGCCGTATCATACGCAGTGCTGGTCGTGTCAGCTCTTAACCCAAAACCTCAGGCGGTGAAAACCAGAGTGTCCTCAATTATGTATAGTTCTTGTACTTTGTATTTTACTATTTTAAAGCTTTTATTGAAATTACTCAGAGGAAGTGTTTTTAGAAGTTACGGATTATATCTCTAAACTGTGACTCATAATCTCCAATTACATTGCATATATTCCAGCTCCTATAAAAGCGCACATTGGTATGAAAGTCACTATGTATTTAATGTCTTTATTCCTGAAATTCTACTCCTGTTATTCTTGCAGATCAGGAAATTTTGCGTAAACTAGAGAAGGAGAAAATCCTGGTTTTCACGCCATCACGGCGAGTCCAAGGCAGGCGTGTGGTCTGCTACGACGACAGGTTCATCGTGAAGCTGGCTTTTGAGTCTGATGGAATCATTGTGTCCAATGATAACTACAGGGATTTGGCTAATGAAAAACCAGAATGGAAGAAGTTCATCGATGAACGGTTATTGATGTATTCCTTTGTCAATGACAAGTAAGTCAGCAGCTGGCCTGGCTGCTGCTGAGCCCTTCTCTTCTTGTCTCTGACCTCGGGGAGGTTTCTTCCAGTTGCTCATTTCCCATTATTCCCCATGGGAGCCAGAAACTGAACACTTGTGGTGTAGGAGGGCCAGTGTAAGTTTGGTGCCCTTCCCTGAGTAATTCATCAGCACGGCTCCTGAGGCAGAGGAGGTAGCTTGGACCCGGAAGGACCAGCTGACAAAAGAAGAGCTATCTTTACCCAAAAAAGCTGCTGGTCAGAATGAGTTTAGCAGGATAGTTTACTAAACACACACAGTTTCACAGTTGTTCTACCAAGTAAAGACTCAAGTCTTGTTTGCAGCCTCCACGTTGACAAACAGGCAGATGACCCAAGCAAGCGTGAGTTAGTTGCAAGAAGTAAATGCATCTACAGGCATGTAGAAAAGGTTTGCCTGTTTTAATCTCAAACTAATCTTTTCTTAATCTAAAACTTTCTCACCTGGTTATTTTACAAAAATATGAATGTTTATGCTATTAAAGATACGTGAAAAACTGTTGTACAGTTTAGCAGAAGTTAGCAAAAGCTTAAAAACTGTATTTACCCTCAGCCATATGACCGTATTTTTTGTAATACAGTAAGGAAAATAGAAAGACCAAATATGCTCATTTCTATATTATTTAAAATTGCAGGAATTCCAAGGAAACTAAATATACATTAGAAAAATCACCTAAGTTACAATGTACACACTGGCTGCAACATCTAGCTGTTCACTTATTCTGAAGGCTGTTGAGAAATGGGGCAAGTGAATTTGGTATACTCTAAGACAGGAGGGTCAGCCTGGGCTACAGTGAGACTCTGTCAAAAGCTAAGAAAGAAAAGGACGGAAGAAACATGGAAAATAATTTTATGCTTAAAAGACAATGCATAAAACACATTTAGTAATTGTGGGACTGAACGATTGCTTTGTCTTCTATTTCTGTTTATTTATTTAGCAGTGCTAATGGATGGAGGAGGGCTTCGTTCATGCTAAGCAAAGACACTACCACTGAACTAATCCCTACCCCTATTTTTCACTATTAATGTTCCCATTTTGCTTTTGACATAACATTTTCTAGGTGTTATCTTTAACTCTTCTGATGGCTCCTCGTAGAATTTTCCATTGCTCACAGTACTCTGATTTTGTAGGCAGACACATGGGCTTAGTCAAGCTAGAACAAGGCTGGAACAAGTGTGATAATTCTTTGCACATGTGTTAGGATTTCTTCCTTCCATTGGATAGTCAGTGCAAAATAATCTTACATCCTTAAATTTCTTTTTATCCCCAGCAGTGGAGATCAAAGCCAGGACCTCACTTGTATCTGCAAGGCAAGCCAACTGCCACACTTAGCTACAGCCCCAACACTTTTCTTTTCTTTTTTGAGACTCATCAACTTATTCAGGCTGGCCTTGAACTCATTTTGTAATGCTTCATGATCCTCCTACCTTAGTCTCTCAAATAGCTGTGATTCCAGGTCTGCACTACCATGCCCGGCTTCCTTAACTACCATGCCCAGCTTCCATAGATGGTTTTCTTTTTTCTTTTTAAATTTTTAAAAATATTTTATTTTTTATGTGTATGAATATATTGCCTGCATGTATGGGAGTGTACCCGTGTTGTGCAATGCCACGGAGGTCAGAAGAGGGCTTCTGATTCCCCTGGAACTGGAGTTAAGGACAGTTCATAGTCACCCATGTAGGTGCAGGGAATTGAACTTGGGTCCTCTGCAAGAGCAATCAGTGCTCTTAAATGCTGAGCCATCTCTCCAGCCCCTCATAAGATGGTTTTCTATCGCAGCTGAGATGCCATTACAACAATGGGAAGAAAACAGACGTAAGAGACATATGTAATTGAATCTTTACTGTGCCATTGACTGTTAAATTAAAAATCACTTAGTTCATCTAAGCCTAAATTACAAGTTTATTGATCTGTAAAATAGAGCTTATACTTGGAAATGAAATGGGGTGTGGTACACATCTGACATACAATGGTGCCAAGTAAGTCTGTCTTCCCACCAAATTACCCACCCCCTCTTTTCTAGTCCCCACCTTCTCCAGAATGCTTCACAAGACTGATGTTTACAGAACTCTCCCAAGATGTTCTTGAAATAATTTTTTTAAATGCTTACAAAAATCCTAAGACTGGGGCAAAGGAAGGAAAAGTAAATAAAACATGCTAGTCTCAAAACTTAATTAAATTGGAACAAATGCAAGTTCAAGATACAAATTTTATTTTTCTAAGAAAAGAGAACTTATGTATTGAGGTTATTTTATTCTGTAATCAAAACACTTGGGTTGGGGCTGGACAGATGACTCTGGTTATAAGAGCACTGGCTGCTCTTGCAGAGGACTTGGGTTCAGTTCCCAGCACTCACAGGGTGGCTAACAACTATCTGTAAATCCAGTTTCAGGGGATCTGATGCCATCTTCTGACCTCCTCAGGCACTGCACACATGGGCACACTTATATGCCTGCATGCAGAACAGTCATACACATAAAATAAGAGTGAATGAATTGAAAAAAAGTTGGAGTTAAACTTTCAAAAGAAAAGAGAATGAGTTGAATATTTAACCTCCCACTTAGGTATTGCTCTTATTATTGTTATCTCTGTGACAGATTCATGCCCCCTGATGACCCTCTTGGCAGACATGGCCCAAGCCTGGATAATTTTCTGAGGAAGAAACCCATTATTCCTGAACACAAGAAGCAGCCTTGTCCATATGGTAACTTCTTTATGAATACTTAATATACTACTTTAGAACACAATATATTGTTATACTTCTGTTAATATAAATAAACATTTAAAATCTTGGCTGGCATACTATGAGATTCTTCTGATTATAATTAAAATTTTTTTAATGTGTTAATGGGGCTGGAGAGATGGCTCAGCAGTTACAAGCACTGACTGCTCTTACAGAGGACCCGAGTTTGATTCCCAGCACCCACATGGCGGCTAAAAACCGTCCTTAACTCCAATTCCAGGGGAATCCAAAACCCTCTTCTGACCTCCGTGGCACTGCATGACATGGGTGCACTCCCATACATGCAGGCAAATACACTCATACACATAAAAATAATAAAGTATTTTAAAAATAAAAATGTGTTAGTCTTGAAAAAAATTATTTTTACCTATTTGGGCCCAATACCTAGGAATGTCCTTGAATGAAAATACAGTTTGAAAACTCAGTATTAATTGTGTTTGGAGTTTGAATGAAAAGTAGAAATTCTTATATCTAGACACAAATCTGATAAGCATGGCTTTATGGTATTCAGCAGTCCAGCTGCTGAAGATTTATTTACTACCCTGTTTTAAAGGCCTGGAGGAGAAGAGGGAGATAGGAATTGAAATAGGAATTGGAGCTTCCTGAGTGGTCTTCATAGCGAGTGAGAAGACTGGAGAGCGAGAAGCTGAGCAGCACTTAGCCTGTCTCTCATCTCTGCCTCTGTTTCTTTCACACGTTCAATAGTGCCTCCCTGACTTTGCAGCATCTCATGGTGTGTTCCTTTGCCTGACTAATCTTACTCTTCATAGGAAAGAAATGTACCTATGGCCACAAGTGCAAATATTACCACCCAGAAAGGGGCAGTCAGCCTCAGCGGTCAGTAGCTGATGAACTTCGTGCCATGTCTAGAAACACAGCAACCAAAACTACAAATGAAGGAGGACTGGTGAAAAGCAACAGTGTTCCTTGTAGCACTAAGGCAGATAGTACTTCGGATGTTAAACGAGGCGCTCCAAAGAGGCAATCAGATCCAAGCATTAGGACTCAAGTCTACCAAGACCTAGAAGAAAAGCTTCCCACCAAAAACAAATTGGAAACCAGGTCTGTCCCTTCCTTAGTTAGTATACCGGCCACTTCTGCTGCAAAACCCCAAAGCACTACATCTTTAAGCAATGGCCTTCCATCTGGAGTTCATTTCCCACCTCAGGATCAAAGACCACAGGGACAATATCCTCCAATGATGATGGCAACCAAAAATCATGGAACGCCAATGCCTTATGAACAGTATCCAAAATGTGACTCGCCTGTTGACATTGGATATTATTCCATGTTGAATGCATATTCAAATCTGAGTATCTCAGGCCCACGAAGTCCTGAAAGGCGTTTCTCATTAGACACAGATTATCGAGTGAGTTCTGTAGCTTCGGACTGCAGCAGTGAAGGGAGCATGAGCTGTGGGAGCAGTGACTCTTACGTGGGGTACAACGACCGGTCCTATGTCAGCTCTCCCGACCCACAGCTAGAAGAGAATCTGAAGTGTCAACACATGCACCCTCACAGCCGCCTTAACTCCCAGCCCTTCCTGCAGAATTTCCATGACCCCTTAACCAGAGTGCAAAGTTACAGTCATGAAGAACCAAAGTTCCATCACAAGCCTCCTCTTCCACACTTGGCTATGCATCTGCAGCACCCCGCTGTGGGTGCCCGGTCCAGCTGTCCTGGCGATTATCCCTCTCCACCAAGCTCAGCACACTCTAAGGCACCACATCTTGGGAGGTCCTTAGTGGCCACGAGAATAGACAGCATTTCTGATTCTCGACTCTATGATAGTTCTCCCTCAAGACAAAGAAAGCCTTACTCCCGCCAGGAAGGGCTGGGAAGCTGGGATAGGCCGAGTTATGGGATGGATGCATATGGGTATCGGCAGACTTACTCCTTACCAGACAACTCCACACCCCCGTGTTACGAGCAGTTCACCTTCCAGAGCCTGCCTGAACAGCAAGAGCCCACCTGGCGAGTCCCGTACTGTGGAATACCACAAGATCCCCCAAGGTATCAGGACAACCGAGAGAAGATTTATATCAACTTGTGCAACATCTTCCCACCTGACCTTGTGCGAATTGTCATGAAAAGGAATCCTCACATGACAGATGCCCAGCAGCTTGCTGCGGCCATCTTAGTGGAGAAATCCCAGCTGGGTTATTGAAAAGATGATGCATCTTTGTGGTGTTTAGTAGTTTTTTGTTCAGCTCAAATGCTGAGGGAGGTTTGCTACAATAGCATATGTGATCTCCTTCTCAGCAAGGAGGTTCTGTAGTATCCATTTATGTGAAATACTGTATCATGGAATCTGTATGTACAGCCCCACTTGGCGGAAGTATCACAGGATTGCTTTACATTCAAACTTTTTTTTAACATTTCCTTTTTAAAGCTATATCCTTGGCTGGAAGTTTCTCCAGTTTGATTTACTAGATGTATCTGTGATCTTTGATATTAATCTTTGGTGCATCAGGGGTTTATATGCAGCACTTTTTATCCTCATTTCATGTTTTATTAACTTGGTGTTTTGTCTATCAATTGCAAGCAATTACAACACCTTCAGAATGTGGAAATATTTGACTAGACCTAGCAAACTATTTTTTCAAGCCAAGCTTACTAGAATCTTTTACAGCTTTTTAAGTTATTTTTATTTGGGGAAAGTGGGCTTCTTTGTGCTATAATCATTATTTATAGAAACAAAGATATACTACAGCACTGACTTTATATTTTAAACAAAGTGTAAGTTACCAGTTATGTTAAAACGGGTAACCGTATATATTAGAATGATTTCCAGTATAGCACTTTTTATTATTTTATTTTTGTTTGGATTTTTCCTGTTAAGAAATTAGTTAATTTAATATGGTCAGTTTAAAAGAAAGCAGATGCAATCAATGGAAAAAGTTTCCATTTTCTTTTTTATGAATAAGTCAAAAGCCTTAACTGTTACAAGTTAAAGCTTCGTTATCCAGCTAATATGTGTGTCTAGACAGTGGATGAAATTGAACTCCTAGATTTCCATTAACTTGTATTTTTAATGTCTGTCTTTTTGTGGGGGGCGGGGCACAACACTACTAGATAAATAACCCTTTCCCAGTACTTGTCTGTTTTTAATGAATCTAATTATTCTCAATGCAACTTTTATATTTAATACACTCTAGCTTTCCTGCTATTTATTGAGGCTGGCCTGAGGTGGTTTGATGTATTGAGGATATGCAACATTTATTGATACTGCACTATAGAGATGGCGATGGAGGAGTTGTAAATGGTAACTTAATTTTTGTAAGATATTGTATATTTTCCATTCTCCCAGAGGTAGTTTTTTTGGAGGGCCTGTTATATTATTAAGGCCAGACTCTTGCCACAAATAGTGTAGTTTTAGATACAGACCAAAGTCTGTTCTAGTATTAGTAAGGGATATTTCTGGTTTCAAAGTCATGAGTTTTGCTTGCTGTAGTTACATTTCTGAGGATTGGATAATGGATTTGCGATCAGTGGCAGACCCTGGTATGGTGGATACCTGTCAGTCCCTCCAGATTTCACTTAGTGTAAAAGACACATTGTGATCTGTTTCTGTAGTCTGCCTGGATGCTCTGGTCACTGAGATTATTCTGCAGTCTGAAGCAAAGCCCTGAAAAACCAGAAAGTACCTTTTACTGTTGATACAAATTGTATCTTTTTAACAATAAGAACTATTTTGATTTGTAGATCTAGTTAAAAACACAAATGTGTAACTATAATTAGACTTTTGGGCAACATTTTATCTCTTATTTAAATACAAAATTTTCAAGTAAAATCGAGGTCTAGAATAGGGTAGAAAATAATAACAAGGTAAATAAAAGTGTCTGTCTTAGTTTTATATATTAAAATATATTAAATTTATTGGCATTTTCTTTCTCCTAAAACTTACCTAGTATGAACTTAAAATAAAGGTAAAATGCTGCCTGAAAATAACGTCCAAGCATCTTTGACTAGGATAACATTTTCACTACTTGTGTGACACTATGTGTTGCATGGAGTAGGATTTGGGTATACAGTAAATGCTTCTAAAAGGCATTGTGCATATTAGCATATCCAATAATCTGAACCATGTTCAGCAAACCTAATTCAGGAAAGTGATGTTCTACACAGTTACTGCTGTTGTGTTTGAGTGAATGTGGCACGTATCTTTACCCAGAGTAGCAGGGGTGGTGCCACACCAACCATTCTGAGTGGTGTCTGTCCGAAAGTGACACTGCTGACTTGTGAAATTGTCCTTGATTTTGTCAGTCATTATCTAAGAGGCAAGTATGTATGCAGAGGCTAAATGAGTGCCAAAAACAGGGTTGCAGATGTGTGCTTCCTTTTATTCTGACCAGAGTAGGAAGTAACCTGTCATCTGAACAGAGGACCTCTGCTTCATCTTAGCACTGTGATTGCTTGAAAACCGGCAAACTTCACTAAAGTGTTTTAAGTGCAGTCTTAGGTAAAGTGGACATGACTTTCAGTTTGACCTTCTTAGGATATATAGCTGGCTGTTTGTCCTCTTTTTCTTACTTTCTGTGTCCTGCCAATGTCTGTGTGGAGTGTGTAGCTCTGAACCCTGCCCTCCTCCGCCTAAAGTTTTCAGTGTAATTAGGTGTGAGCTAGGGAAGGTCAGTCTTCTTACATCAAGAGGACAGTTTGTACCCTTTTTGAGGCATCAGTGTTGCTTTCAGAGCTTAAAAATGAGAAAATTGGCAGACATTAGATTCAGCAAATTCTTGTTTATCTGAAGCAATAAATAAAAGGAGACCATTATTAAATTCATAGCTAATCATAAACCTTTATTTTAGCTGAATTTTTCTTCCTAATTGCTAATCCCTATTTACCAGATATGCTTTAAAAAGACAGTCCAAAAGTAGTGTGTTAGTAAGTCGTAAAAGTGCCAGAATTGGTCAGCTGATGAAAGGAAAAGGACTCAGACTGGAATATTCTGCCCCTGAATAATTGACAGTTGACTGTACTTTACACAGTAATTAGCAGTCCGTTGTCTCTGTGTCTTAGTTCAGAGGGAATAGTACTTAACTGGCCAAATACTGGCCCTTGGAATTCCCTCTGTTCTTGCATGTGATACAGACATTTTCCATCTCATTTATAATCTGTATATCCTAACAGCTTGTCATTGACCTAAACATTGGAAGAAAGTATCACCAGTATAAAATATTTGACACTGGTGGAAACTTGAATTTTGTGTTTTTATGAAAATGCATTTATGAGAATATGTAATGTAACTAAAGAAAGTGTTTTATATATACATACATGTTTGTTATGAAGTACTAAAAATTGGGAGGGCTCTTTCAATGGCTAGCATTCCCTGACTGAACTATGTTTCTTTAAGTTGTGAATGACCAAATCTAGGGTCTGGATGACCAATGATAAGCTTCAGAACCACTTATTTGGAAAGAAACTCTTTGTTGGTTTTATTCCTGGTATTTTTAAAGATTATTTTGATAATTTTAATAGGATGTGTAATTTTTAAATACACACACAAAAACTTAAAGTAATATTGATTATACAAATGATTATTTAACATATCTTTTACATGTTGTATCTATATGTATATAGACAGTAATATATTTATAAAACAAATATACTTTTGTTGTATTTTTTAGTTTGTAATAAGTATGAGGATGGCTCTGAGAGTGTGAGAGTGTGCGTGTGTGCACACGCACGTGTGTGTGTGTGTGCCTGTATGTGTGTATGTGTGTGTGTGTGTCTTTCTGTGTTTTGAAAACTCTGAAACCTTCCCCCCGTCTTAACTGGTATTTACTCAAAATGTATGTTTTTGTTACTCCTTTTGCGACCCATCATCCTTATTCAGGATAATAAGGTGTGCAGTGTTCTGACCATACTGTTGACATCTGGCTCTTCATGTTATTAATCTCTAATTCTTAGAGAATGTCTGAAATCAAGCAGATTATGTGTAGAGATCATGATTATGTTTTGAATATATTAAAAATGAAGACTCAGCCATGATCTTAAAATTTCAAGATACACACCAAGGAATGAAGTGCCGAAGAAGATGCGTGCACACGTGCATTAAAATGAGAGGGAGCGGGGTTCCCCCAGAGCAGAGAAGTGGGCGTGGCTTTAGGTAGCCAGGAAAGACCCTGGGCTAATGTGTGGGCAGACTTTTTCTGTGAAGAATCTGGTAGTGAATAATTCAGACTTCTCAGCGAATCCAAGTTTCTTAAACACTGCTCACCTTTGCCTTTATAACATCAAAGCCACAGGAACATGTAGATGAGAATATGGCTTTTTTTAATAAAACTTTATTTACAGAAACATCACAGGCAAGCCTTAGCCTGTGGGCCATCCCTGAGCCCTGCTTAGAGGGAGAAGCCAGACGTAGTAAGTAGTAAGCTCTGATATATGTTAATATAGTTAATAGTAATTGTATCTCAGCAAACATCTGGAGGTAGTCTGATAGTTATTGATGACCTTCAAAAGATGATTGTGAGATAGTCATAGTAAAGCCCCTCGTTTAGACACAAAAAATGCAAAAAATATATTTTAGTAACTATTGAACATTTTCCCTGAACTTTGCATTTCTTTGGTGAATGGGGAATCCTTTATCTTTTATTTGCTTAATGGCCTCATGGACCAAAAAACAGTATGTTGTATTTCAAAAAATAACCTATAATTAGCCACAAATTTTTCAAAGACTACATTTATCAGTTACATTTTTCTGTTGGTTTTGTCTTCTGATATATAACAGATCTGACCTCCTTTACAAATGATTTTAAAGATTAGCATACTGTAATTTCACAGCCAAGCTCTGTTCTCTAATAGTAAGAACTGTGATGAGTCAAATAGCTATGAGTATATTTATTTAACCTGTCTGTCTTCTTTGTCCAAGTATTCACTATGGCGTTTTAGAAACCTTAAGACTGGCTCTGGTTAGTAGTGTTCCTACCACGATCATGTGTGATTCTGAACCTACCGGAAGTACACACTTGCTGAACACACTCATGCCCAGTATGTTCTTTGTGGTATCACAGCAATAACACAACCTTCATAGGATCATTAAACAGCTATGAAAATTACCACCCACTTAATTATACTTTTAAAATTGAAGTACAGCTCTAGCATTAACGGTGTTTATAGTTTTACGTGCCTGATTTTGCTGTTATTGTGGCTGCTGTTGTGATATCTCCTGCCCTGCCTGTTACCTGTTAAAATAATACTGTTCTATATTACACATGCCTTTTTCCCTGGGATCCTTAATCTTTCAGATGTAAACGCGGTTGCAGGTTTTAACCATTTGGCAGTAGAAAATGTCTATGCATGTTTTCAGTTTTATAAAACTTGTAAAGTTTTATTCTTTTAAACCATGTGCTAAATTTTCTGTGCAGGTATTTCAGGTGAACAACAAGATGATGACATCTAAGCTTTTACCACCATTCTTTCTAAACAGCTTGTCTGAAGGAAAGGGAAGCACAATGGTTTGTTTTGATGAGGAATACATTTTAGATTTCCTCTGGGTTTTTAAAGTATAAATTTTCTACCTTATGTTGAATACCAACAAAAGGCAAATCTCCACAGATAGAGTATCTCAGTGCAAGTGCCTGTAGGTCCGTTCCTTGTAGGTCTTTTCCTCCCAGACCGTAGTTGTGCTGAGCGTACAGTTTCCTTTTTCCTCCTGCAAACTGCCCTCCAGGAAAAGCAAGGCGAATAATGTTTTTAGATCAGCCATCTGATAAACTGATATGATTATATTTATCTCTGCCTGTTCTGTGTTTTTCTGTAATGGAATTTTTGCAATTCCAAAAGCAGTATTTTGGACTTACTGGGAATCCATATTGAAATAACTGTATCATTCAATCACAGAGGGGAAAATATTAAAATACTCATTTTTCCTATGGTAGTTTTGTTTTGTGAAGAAATTGCTCTAATGTGGCAGCATAGATGCCCAGTGAATAAAAGCATTTTTCTTCTCCGGCTTGCCTACATTTGGCAGTTAGTGACATTTGGCATTCTGTAGGATGTGCACATGTTCAACATTGATGTAAATGTCAGAACCACAGTTAACTCCTATTAAACTGAAATTAAATGTCAGCGACAACTAGTCATGACTTCAAACATGATGAGAGTGTTTTCTTTCTTTCTGCCACTAAGGCATTTGTTTCCAGTGGTTTGTAAGTGTCTTCGGTTGGGACCTTGACCATTCAGTATATAGAAATGCTGGATGGTGTCTGGCGGCCTGGTTCTGATGAAGGCCAGCAAGGGATTAAAAGATATTGCAAAGACTACACTTGGTGAGATGGTTTATGGACTGGGACTGTGCACCAGCTTGGGACACTGGTGTGCATGAACTCCAGACAGTCGCTGGGGTTGGAGAACAGGCTCCATGTGCCTCTTTCAGGGTTTCTCTCTTATAGTTGAACTGGAGTCTGCAGGACAAAATAATCAACACGAGTAAAGATTAAAGAAAAAAAAAAGACTGATTAAATGTTAATAAAGAGAGGTAAGAGGTTTTATTGATAATGGTCAAAAAATTTGGACCACTATAGAAAAATGTTTTGTTTCTTAAAAATTCTCCTGAGACTGGGAAGAGACTGCAGACAGAGCTCAGTACTCAGTACTCGTGTGGGTGAATGCATCCTGCACGCTCACTGCAGTAATAGAGGCACTACACATGGTACATAGGATCAGGGCAAATCACCTCTCAGTGTCTTTCTGGAACTCCATTATAAAACGGCACCAGTGCCTAGCTCACAGCTTCTTGTCACCAATGGTGGCGATGGTAGTATCCTGGGAACAACTCAGGGACCGTGTGAGTCGGTACAAAGCCGCATGGCCCCATTTTTTTGTGACTTGAAACAAGAACCTTTACATTATCCTTGCTGTCCTAGAGAGCAGTGTCTTCCTGAGTACTTGGTTATTCTGTCCCTGGAAATATTCTACTTTAGATACGGTCATGAGTAACAAGATGTTCTGATGATCACTTAAAACCTTGTGTTCTGTGTCAGCATGTCTGATACTCAGGGTCACAGGCACTTCCTCCCCCATCACCTTGTAGGCCTTTCTTTTACTCTGGTACTTTCCTAACATTGCTCCTTGCCCCGGCCATTGCCAGCTTTGCTTCTGCCTTCCACTTAATTGTGTGAGTTCCAGCCAGATCTCACGGACTTAGCTTGCATCTTTTGGCTTGAGCTGCACATGCACATTTGAGTATTGATGCTCTTTTCATTGTTGCGGCATGTCCAAAAGCAGCATGCCAGTGGGAGAGGCTCCCAGCCATTCCCCAGGACTAGCTGAGGCTCCAGAGGCACATGAGATGGGCTAGAACTACCTGGACATAGTACTTTATTCCTCCCAGGCCTAGGCTTGCCTGGGGAGGAAAGGTTATGCATATATGAGTTAAAGCACACCTGGGAAGAGGCTGTTATTAAAAAAATAAAAGTATAATGATAAATTTATTCATAACAAAACACCTGGCCCTGGAGTTAACTATAAGCACTCCTTAGATTTTCTACCTGCACTTTAGTGTTTGAAGGGGATTTCAAAGTATGTTGTTTTTAACCCCCCTTAAGATTTCTAAACTAGCATTTGAAAAAATAAAATTTCTTTTGAGGTGTAGTCATCAGCCTCAGAATTCAGAGTAGGAACCCCTGTTCCAAAGAGGCCTGGGTGAGGGTAGAGTAACAGGTCACCAATTGCCCTGCCATCCCCAAGTCTCCTAGAGTTATTAAGACAGAGGGTTGAAGGAGTAAAGCCCTTTGGACCTGCTAACCCACAGTGGGTCTTCAGAAAGTGACCACTATTGTTATGTGCACAGCAGAGGTGCCCAAACACACAACACTGTTGAGGCATTCTAAGTGGTTATGTTGTGAATATGAATTGTTGCAATGTAATTTGATACAGCCAAGTGAGGCCGTTTCAAGAGTGACATTGTAGCCTTCAAGAAGTTCCGGGAAGCCTTCTCCTTGTTACCTCCATTACCAGGCTCGTCACGAATGAGGAGTTCTAGGTATCATCATAGGAAAGGGAGGTATTCCAGATTACTCCTGTTACATAGTGCCTGGACTCCAATAGTGACAGTCCTCTGAATTCCACATTTATTTCTGAGGGTATCCCCAGCAAGTTTGTCTGTGCATTCCCACCATACGCACACCTCAAAATGGGCCAAAACATAAATTGAAAAAAAAAAATTTAAGGGCTTAGGAGGTGGCTCAGTACCTGCCGCCAAGCCCAAGTTCAATCTCCAGACCCCCATGATGGAAGGAGAGAACTGACTTCCATGAGGTGGCCTCTGATGTCCATGTGCATCATGGTACACCCCATTCTTTACTATGAGAATACAGAGCCCACCTGTGTAGTATGGTGCATTTTTTGATTGTCAGGTGTGTTTCTGGGAAGACATGACAGTCCTTAAGCATTCATTTCTTCTTTGTTAACACTGCTCTCAAGGGTGAAAAGATGGGACTGGCAGGGAGGACCCGGTGCTATCCTTTTATATAATGTAAAATCCTGAGTTAAGCATTATCCTTATTTTAGAAATGCAGAACAGTTAAAGCACTTGGTCAAGGGCAACTCTATGGTTGGAATCCCTTCCACATGCTTCCAGAATGTCCTTTCCCACTTTCTATGCTATAAGGCAGTACACAGACCCAACCAGCTCTGGCATGGGCTATTCTAGAAAAACATCAAGCTAAGGAACAGACTCCAGTTATATTACAGCCATACATACTTAAACTTCTCCTGGGGGCAAAGCAGCAGATGTGATGTTGGGTCTTTTCTTTCCTACAGTAGGCCACACCTTCAACACTGTTTATGTGTGAATAGTCATGACAAAGATGCCTTTTGTCACCCAGAGATCTATCTGCCTCTCCTGAGCTGTGACGCTGGCCAGCCCACCAGCACTCAGGGAATCAGGGCTCAAAGACCCAGGGAAAGCCAGGACTACCCATGCTTGTCAGCTCTTGCCTCCTGCCTCCTCTCCAGACTTTTTGTAGTTCTAGACAATGAAGGGTGGTACACTTATTTCCTGGGCCTTGTTTGGGTTTTTGTCATTGGGGTTTTCTAGAGGACCCATTTAGCTTTCAGTCTTCTGACAATACCCACTGCAAATACCAGCATGTGTGACGAAG